ACACTCGAAAACTTAGGCAAAAGACTGTACAGCGCATACTACGAGTCCAAGATTAAGGCAGCCGAGCCCAGTCAGAGGGCGCTTGCAATGTCGAGCCACCTTCGGTGCACGTGAGAGATCGACCAAGGGCCAGGTCATAGCACCTACCTCACGGAATGGGCGCGATAAGCGCAGTCGTGGCACAAGCCGCTGAACAAGTTCCCAGAGCTGCGTTACAAGCAAGGACTGCAGCGGGGCCCGCGGGGGCTGCTACGACGGTCCCGAATGTGAATCCGGCACCGGCGTAGCAGGCGACAGCGAGGGCGTTGCATCCTGCATGCGTAGGCACCCGAGCCGTTTGTCATCCAGGAATACACGGTGAGAGAGCATACGGACCGGTCTGACAGATGCCGTAGGCGATGGGCCCGGCAATGGTGGAGGGGATTGAAGCCATGGCAGCGAGCAACGGGAGAGCGATAGTGTAGAAGCGCATGTTGGCTAGGATCGGGTTTGGGCTCTGGTGGGTGGTGGTAAGAGTGAGAGAGGCGTTGCGAGGATGCGAAGGACAGCCCCGTTTTATATAGACTTGAACACGCTATAGCAACGCCATAGCGGTGCCTTCCGCAGCGTCATATGACAAAACCAACGGGGCTTCGTGCATCGAGATACTTGAGGCGTGAAGGAGCTATCGGCGTCTTCACAGCTCTCGATGTATCGAGAAGACCTATAAGAGACGTTTTAGCGCCCATAAGTCTTCGATCCCCTTAGCCTTCCGGCTGTGCATAGCGCGGAAGACACTGCGTTGTTCTCCGCTGAGCATACGACACTGATCGCGAAGAACTCAGTATAACCGTCGGTCTTAGTGCATGCATGGACGGTGTGGCTGACTAGTACTGTATTGAAATGAGCCTCACCGTTATGGTACGCAATCGCAGATTGAGCAATGACACCACGCACCCAGGGAGATGTCACATCTACCAGTTTGGTGCATGGCGGAATTCTCTCTTTAGATTTGGAAAGTGCTCCTGCCGGTCACAGGCCTGAAGATCGCAGCAATGAGTTCCAAGCAACGGTTCGTCATGCGACGAGGACTTTGAAGCGGAGCTTGTACCCAGTACTCGAGGATTCCTTTCCGGATCATCGGATTGTGGCTGCGCCATATCTTCGAATTCTCCTCGTTGTTGGAGAGCAGGACGATGGAAATAAACATCTCGACAACTGACATGTCGGGACGACACGGGGTGGTTCCCAGTACCCGATACGGAAAGGGAGTTTCCCGATACGGCACTCCTGACATATGTCAAGATTGTTTTGCCCTGCTTGTGCACTGTCCGAGGACGGGTGTAAAAGGACGGTAGGAAGGCCACAACTCGACGTTCTGCGGTTGACTTTCCCCACCACCTCCCCTTTTCACCCAACCTCGTCGTCGGACTCGATCCAGACGCAGTGAGCCCGCGAGCCCTCTGCGACAGGACTGCCGCAACACGGGGGATATGTACCCCCGGGCTCCCGCATCTGTACGTGCAGGTCCTGCATGTCGTAGTTCACTCGACTGCTAGGTGAGAGAATATGAGTTTCGGGAGGTAAGTCAGGTCTGATCTTCCTCCCGCAAAAGCAAATCAACTGATGTGCCGAAACCGCAATTTTGCGCATATATCGCCTTCCCGACGACGCGCCACTCCTGAGGCCTGAGGCATGAAGACACACTAAAACGTAGGTTACCTTGCGACCAGCAAGGTATCTCGCGCTGCCGGAATGCGTTCACTGTTTACATGTCTTTTGACTTGTTTGTATCTGTTGACTAGCCACTCAAGGCAACGATCGCGCCTTCCTCAACATACGAGAGAGTTCGTGGCGTATCTGATCGTCTGGGCTCGCTACATGGTCTTTGTATAAGACGTCGCTGGTTCGCTTCGGTCTCATCCTACGTTCGTCGCATGTCTGATGCTAATGATCGACTCTGGCCGATGCTATAGTGTGGTATGTTATGATGCTCTTTCGATGTCCCTAGCTGACTTGTCCTCTGCCAACACAAGCACCTGTTCATTTCTGGCGCCTTTGGCGACTCAGATCTCAGACCCAGTGAAAATGCGCAGAATTTCCTTGAAATTAGAACCTATTAGTATATTTGCATGTATTTGCCTAACATTATTTCCGGCCACCTCGATGACGAAAGTCGCGCGCGCGATTTCGATTGTGTATCACAGCCCATCGAATGCATATGCAAGACGGACTCGAACGCACGACCGTGACGCTCGCAATACGTCCTGGATGGACTGACAGCTCGGACACTTGTCCGCGGCGCGTCTGTGCATCTAGCTTGAGTCTTGCTTTGGCTAGCCGGTGTGCGCTTTCGATTTGTTTTCAACTATCTGTCTCTCTCTAGTGGAATGGCTGGCTCTGGTAAACATGGCAATGGCACTACTGATAAATCTGGGTGCATATTTGGCTGTCAAGAAGGCTGCAAGGGGAGCAAGGGACTCGTATCAGAGAAGACATTCTGGCGACACGCTCTGTTCCGCAAATCGGCGCAAGGTCACCAGATAAGCCGCCTTCTTGCAAAACATATACCGGAGACATCTACCAGACAAGATGCTGAGCTGAGTCAGCAACTTCCGCCTGCCAAAAGGCGGAAGCACTCGAGCCAGCAGGCATCAGTATGTCACCGGATTCTGTTTAGCATCTACCGTCTAACAATAAGATGATTGGCTCATAGCCGCCCAGAAGCAGACCACCATCAGTCCCTTCTGGTACAGCCGCAAGTACTGCATCTATCCCGGTGCGCTCAGGTAACTTTTCGGACCCCTGCGCTGCTGGCGGTTCTGCTGTGTCTGCTACTCGTGGCCCTGAACAAGATGATGTTGCTCCTATGGACATCGAGATGGATGATTCTCGGGAAGGGCTGTCTGGAGAGGCCAGAGGGACTCCAGGCTCTCAGGCTGCCGGTTTGAATATACCCGCCATTCCCCATCCTGACGTTGAAGATGTACCAGATGAAGGGGACCAACCTGCCAAGGCATAGGTGCGTCCAACAACCGGTCATATTACTCATCTGATCTAACTACTCTATAGAAATGTGCGCTTGCAAAGGAGGGCAAGCTGCGGCCGTCGAAAGGAAGAAGGATGACAGCAGTGATGCTGGTGTCATCGATTCTTGGTGGGTTCCCCTATATTATGAGATGGCACTAACAGCATGCCACAGAGATTGCAACGTGGTGTCGTACTGTCTCAGTAGGGTGTGTGGGCAATGGGTGTGCAGGCGACGGAGGTGCGGGGGTGCGGGAGGGGCGGGAGAACAGGAAAATAGAAGGAAGTATGTTATAAAATGCGGGTAAATCATGTAAATACGGTGGCAAGTAGAAGGTAGAGGGAAAATGGAAGTAAATTCACCATAATGCCAATAAATTCCTAGAGAAATGTGGAGGGCTACTGCAAGGCTACCGCGGGGACAATAAATACCATAATCAGAATGCACTGCTGCTGTCCCTGTGTAAGTACTGTATCACTTGGGAAGTATTCGGCGCTGCGCGGCACGCCAGGTCCGATTCCTCGTAAGGTAAACAAGTGGCAAGGGTTCTACAAGTAGGTAAATAGTCTTTCTAGCCTCCCGGGCGCTGCGCGGCATCAAGAATACTCCTAGTTATTATATGTTGATCTCAGTGATACTAAATCATATAAGTTCGTAACTCTCAAACATAACTGTGTGTGGCTAGAACCTTCAATCATCCTATACTTGGTGTCAAGTACAGTTATTTCAATACACAATACACTATTTACTTCAGTACTACACTCGGGTAGCATTACTATCGAGTCTGCACATGCATACTGTAGCTGAGATGCACGTCGTCAGGCTGAGGCCTCAATGCTGCCAGTACTATGCCTCGTATGTAACTTACCAATCTTGTGCCATAGGCAGCAGGGTACTTGCCATTGGCGCAATGCAACACACAGCCGGGGGATGCCTGACAGTGCCATTGGCCCGAGATCTTGAAGGGATCGTGCCATGCAGAGACCACACTACATATCTGGAATTAGTCCCTATTCACAAACGGTAATTATTGACATGAGAGGTAATAGCTCCTATTTGCTGATGGTGGTAAGATTTGGATCAGTGGACCTTCCATTTCAGGAGGGTGCTCCCGTTACAGTTAAGGTAATTTGG